TGTCATTTTGGGTCCCAGAATGCAGGAAATTGCATCTCAGAATAAAAAAATTTCCGTGGGGACATGTCCCGAACCCCCTAGCATAGTTGGGTTACTGCGTGACCCTCGTACTACAGATTTCAGACATCCTCACTACAGTTTGCTCAGAAAAGTGTTGGCATCTCTGTATAATAGGCCGGTGTGGGAGCGCGAATAGATGGCACGGACTGCCAGGTGATGTCAACCACGTTGCTTTGCCTTTTCTCCAGGTGGAGGATGAACTGGATACGATTACTCAGGACGAATTCGATAAGCTCGAGATGAAACTAATGGATGACGATATTATCAAGAAAGAGTGAAAGCCGCAGCAGCAGCAGCAGCTACAGCAGCAACAGCAGCAACAGCAGCAGCAGCAACAGCAGGAGCAGCGGCAAGAAAAAAATCTGCAACAGCAGCAGCAGCAGCAGCAGCAGGAGCAGGAGCAGCGGCAAGAAAAAAATCTGCAGCATCAGCCACATGGGGGGTGGGAGGGGAGCTGGCTTAACCGATCGTCTTCATTAGTGCAGGGGCGAGGAGACGAGGACATAGCAGGGTTTGTTGTCATTCTCGTCACGTCCCCGCACCGTGACCATGCCATCGTTCAGCGCCCGCTCATCCCCCTCCCTCGCTTCAATCCCCTTTGCTTTGTTATCATTGCTACGTGCGGGCGAACGTCTAGTACCATGTAGATGAAGTAATATGCCTGTAGCCACCCGCGTTGCATCGTGTAGGCATGGTTTCACAAGCACTGGTGTCCACTGCAAAACATTTATAAGTTTTGAATGGTAGATAGAGGATCGGTGTAGGCGTGTTCCGTTTATGGCTGATTAAATTAATAGTTTGCTGACTCTTTATTCACTTTTTAAACAGATGTGGGACTGGGAATCACTTGACAATAATCACTCTGTTGAAGTATTTGTTATATCTGGATTCGATTTTGAGCTGGACCTTTCCTATTGCTGCTTATCAGAGGAAATGTCAACTAGCTTTAAATAGTCTTGAGTGTCTGATATGTGCTTTTCATATGTTGTTGGATATTATAACTGAGGTCAAGTGATCAATATTATATAAGTAATGTTGAGAGCCTACTAATGAGATGTGTGTGTGTATGTGTGTTAATGAAAGTGCCACCATAATGTACATAGTATAAAAAATGAAAATACATATTAAAATACCCTTATAGTTATAGAACCGGACATTTCGCACCATGTGTTTTTTAGCACGTAGTATATTTTGTTTCCTTCGTATTGTACAGAGTGCGCGAGCATAATCTAAAAATCAGTTACCTGCTCGGGTGAGACATATTTTTATGCAATGCTATACACATACGTATATGATCGTGAATACCTTATCTTCTTCGCTGGTGTACATGTTCCACACTAATATATTCAGCACCAACTTGCATTTTCCGGTGTATATTCCCAATCCACTTTTAATCAAAGAACGTATTGAAAATTTCATTAAATGTAAACACGTTGACTTCGCTGGCACCATTAATTATAGCTGAATACAATAACCGTGTCTTAGCGTTCATAGCTCTCTCAACGTTCATAGCTCTCTCAACGTTTATAGCTATCTCAACGTGCATAGCTATCTCAACGTTTATAGCTCTCTCAACGTTCATAGCTATCTCAACGTTCATGGCTATCTCAACGTTTATAGCTCTCTCAACGTTCATAGCTCTCTCAACGTTCATAGATATCTCAACGTTCATAGCTCTCAACGTTCATGGCTATCTCAACGTTTATAGCTCTCTCAACGTTCATAGCTCTCTCAACGTTCAAGGCTATTTCAACGTTTATAGCTCTCTCAACGTTCATGGCTATCTCAACGTTCATGGCAATCTCAACGTTTATAGCTCTCTCAACGTTCATAGCTATCTCAACGTTCATGGCTATCTCAACGTTTATAGCTGAATACAATAACCGTGTCTTAGCGTTCATAGCTCTCTCAACGTTCATAGCTCTCTCAACGTTTATAGCTATCTCAACGTGCATAGCTATCTCAACGTTTATAGCTCTCTCAACGTTCATAGCTATCTCAACGTTCATGGCTATCTCAACGTTCATAGCTCTCTCAACGTTCATAGATATCTCAACGTTCATAGCTCTCAACGTTCATGGCTATCTCAACGTTTATAGCTCTCTCAACGTTCATAGCTCTCTCAACGTTCAAGGCTATTTCAACGTTTATAGCTCTCTCAACGTTCATGGCTATCTCAACGTTCATGGCTATCTCAACGTTTATAGCTCTCTCAACGTTCATAGCTCTCTCAACGTTTATGGCTATCTCAACGTTCATAGCTCTCTCAACGTTTATGGCTCTCTCAACGTTCATAGCTCTCTCAATTTTCGTAGCTTTTTACGGTCCACAATTCGTTTAGCGGCTCCTATTCGTGTAACGTATGCAGTTCCCTACATTTGTGCAGTTCGATATACATGTTTGCAGTTCTAAGAACGTTCTTCAGTTCCTTAAATATCTGCGGTTTCTTAAAGCATCCGCAGTTCTATGAGCGTTCTACAGTTCATTGAACGCCTGTGGGGCCCTGAGCGTTCGCAGTTCTCGGCACGTTCCTGCGATCAGCTGAATTCGAACAGCAGGAAGCGGATGAGTCGGCTGGGCAGCGGCAGCGCCTCGACGACGTCGCAGTAGCGACGGCCGGCGTTGCCTCGCAGCGCCCTCCTCACGAGCTGCGTGAGCGGCGGCGGCGAGCAGCAGATGCGCTCCAGCAGCGCGCGCGCGTCGTCCGGCACCAGCCGCGTGCACCGCACCGACGCCACGTCCGTCCGCTCGGCGACGCTCGCCAGCAGCTCTGCCAGGTGGCGCCTCCGCTCGCCGCGCGGTCGGCCGAGCGCGCGCAGCACGCCGGCGAGGTCGCGAGACGAGTGTGCGATGACGACGCGCGCGCCGTACAGCAGCAGCAGACGCGCCACTTCGTCGTCGTCATCGTCGTCGTCGCTGTTGAGGTACTCGACGAGCGGCGTCTTGAGCGACGCGCCGTCGGCGTAGTGTCGGCAGCGGTTGGGGTCGGCGCCGTGCGCGAGCAGGTAGTGCACGATGACGGCCTGGTGGCGCAGCCGCGCCGCGCAGGCGACGTGCAGCGGCGTGCCGACGCTCGACGAGATCGCGTTCACGTCGGCGCCCGCCTCCATCAGCATGACGATCATCGAGAGGTCGTCGCGCAAGATGGCGACGTCGAGCGGCGTCGGCGCGTCGTAGCCGCCGCCGAGGTTGACTCGCGCGCCGCGCTGCAGCAGCAGCGTTGCGGCGACTTCGTCGCCCGCCAGCACGGCGTAGTGCAGCGCCGTACGGTGGTCCTGCCGCGCGGTGGCGCGCGCGTTCACGTCGGCGGCGTGAGAGAGCAGCACGATCATCGTCTCGAGACAGCCGCCATGTTTGCAGGCCTTCATGAGCGGCGTGATGCCCGTGCGGTCACGTGAGTCGACGTCGGCGCCGTAGCGTAGCAGTATGTCCATGAGGACGTACTCGTCGGCTGCAAGCAAGTTGATCTCAGCTCCCATGAAATACCTGCGGGCGCGACACAATATATATCCATCGGAGTAGTAAGGATAGCAAGTTACCTAGCACGAGTCATCGATGTATAATAATATTAATTAATGTTTTAATTAATTAATAAACATTAATTTAATTTAAAATATAAATTATTACATCATTTTTTATTAATAATAATAATTAATAAATAATTAATTAATTAAATAACTGAATGCTTGCTATTTCTGCTGGGTTATTAAGTATCACGGCGAAAATCCCCTAATGAACATTAAAGGACTTACATAAACGACCGCTTGCTCTGCCCGGACACACGCACGCACACACACGCTGCTACCTACGTACTTTCGGTTAGGGGTCGTATATAAATCAGAAACCCCTCCCACATACAGACGCGCATGCTCACTCGGCAACGCGCACATGCACGCAGACGCGCGCACAGCTATAGCGTGAGCAACAGCACTACCTCGTGTTCGGGTTAGCTCCGTGCTTGAGCAGTATCTCCGCGACGGCGAAGTGCTTGTGTTTGATGGCGAGTCGTAGCGGCTCCTCGGGCTGGTCGTCTCGGGGGAACATGTCGTGAGGGTTCGGCCGCGGGAAGGCCACCTGGGCGCCGAACTCACACAACAGGTTGATCACGTCCGAGTAGCCTGCACACCTCGCCCCAACATACAGCCGCGTACACTTATACGTAGATATGTATATATATATATATGTGGGGACAGGTGGTAACAGGTTGCAGTTGGTATTTCCAGCTGACAATGTGCTATAGCCCTGCGGCAGTTAATCGAATGCGGGCTATAGTACTAGAGCTAACCCTAACCCTAACCCTAAACATACCTCATATAAAAATATAAACATAATACTAAACAACCTAAAACTACCTCGGGTACATATCTGTAGTATCTGTTACGACAACGACCCTTCGTGCAACACTAACAGTGTTTTAAATGTAGGCCTACCGATGAAAATAAAGATTATCTACATCTACATCTGTGTGTAGTACATTTGTGTTCAAGGATAGAGATGATGTCCAGATTGAGACCTATGTCATTTTCTTAAATGTGGGGGTAGCCCCTTTAAAATCGGCGGGTGTTCTTGAAGGTGTTGTTTGTTCATTTCCACCGAGAAATGTGACTTTACAGGAAGTGTGGAAAAACTGTATTCATTAGTTTTAAAACATAAAAACCATGAAACCTTTTATGTAGCATAATTTTAACCTAAATTAACTGAAAATAACCCTAGAACCTAGAGTAAATTTAGTATCCCTTAATAATAATATAGCCAGGAGAGAAAATAAATTCAGCCTACAGGCTTTTAGCATGCAGCCTAACAGATTAATTTAATATGATATAATATGATACAATATGGTGTGATAGTATCTAGAGCATAAATGTACCATAAAGCAAACAATGATATCATCATTTAGTGGCTTTATTGAGACAACAGAGTAAAGGTTATTTATTTCTATTATGCAGCATTGGTAGCAGTCATGCTAACAGATACCATAGCGCAAGTCTGAGAGTTTTGGCTAGTCGTCATGGACCACCCGGTAGCAATACCTCACTTCTGAAAAATGTGCACAGAAGCGGAATGATGGTAACAAATGTTCAGCAAAGTAAGTTAAAACTATGATTGTGATGTCTTCATCTATTTGTATTTTTGGCAATGAGTGGTCTTTGTCTGTATAGTGCCATATCTCCATATTACATAAATTCTGAGCTAGAATTTGTGCATAAAATGGCAATTTTATACGTTTATGTAGTGCGCTGCTATATAGACTATATATATCATAGACGGCAAGTCTCGTAATTGGTACATCGCCTTGCCGGTACGCAGTCTAATGCTGAACACCAGCTAGAAATTGTGCATAAACCTAAACAAAAACATGGGAGTCTCGAATTCAGCAGATCTGTTTGCTAGGCAGCAGAATAGTGTCAGTGTGTCATGTTTATATGTCGTGCGGTTGCTGTTACAGGGCGATCGATGTTCATACGCACTCAAGAAACTCCAAACCCCAACAGCATCAAGTTCTACCCAGGTTGTCAGGTGCTGGAGAGAGGCACCTTAGATTTTCCCAATGCACGCAATGCGGCCTGCTCACCATTGGCTTCGTACGTGTGTCCAATTTTGTCAGCACTAACTTCTCTCCTTTATTTGTATTCTGATCTGTTTTGCAAGATCCCTAGCTCTCAGGTATATGATAATGTTTTCAATGTCATAACTGTACACAACTTTGCTTCAGCAGACTAGAATTTGCCATATATGACTCGCTATGATTATTTGATTATTTTATACGATTATTTATAGTGAATTTACCATCGCTACACTATTGTCACAAGAGTCCTCGATATTCTCAAATGCTCAATGATAGGGAAATGGATAATCCATGTGTATATATGAGTGTGTAGGCTCGAGGATGCTTTAACAAATCAACTGACGTCTTATTGTACTCATATCTTTCAGGCAAATGTTCAGAATAGAAGGAGTACGAAATGTATTCTTTGGGGAAGACTTTATCACTGTGACAAAGGTACAGACCGTCCATACATATACACGAAAGGTCTCATTACTATCACATGTTATAGCAACGTGATATTCTTTGTGATACACCTGCATTAGATGAAAAATTGTGTAAGAACAGTACTAAGTTAAAGTCAAGGATACAGCATCAATTAATGGAATTTTTTACGGCGTTGTGATCCAGTCGTAAAAATTTACGCATATATGCATAGACCAATCTTTTATTGTATATCATTTCTTGAATATTTTATTACAGTATATATACTCTGTCACATCTCTTCGAGATGTCAGGTACTCTCCAGAGATAACTCTATACGAATTAATTTCTAAAACACTTTAAACAGGTTGACGAGGAGTATGAGTGGAAGGTTCTCAAACCCGAAGTTTTTGCAGTCATCATGGATTTCTTTGCTAGTGGAATACCAGTACTGACGACTGAGATGCCATCCTCCGAGACAGGTACCGCTTGATGGTTCCAGCTCTCTCTGCACCACCCCGGCTATCTGTCCCTGCTTTTCTAATAGAAGTGCTGCCAGTAGAAACCTCCACTACTGGCAACAACATTGAATACATCATCATGGTCGAAGTAGTCGGTATCGACTCCCTAGCCGTTATCACGCAGTTTGCGAGTTAGATTTTTCGGGGGAATACGCTACAGGGCATGAAATTAGCCAAAATGTGAACAGGCACACCCAATATTTTAAACAGGCCCTTACAAGTTTGAACAGGCCCATAATTTTGTTCAATTTATTCCATTATTAATAAAAGTATTAGCTTTGTGTTTATTAGGCATACTCGTTGTATTTCATTGCTATCAGTGGAGTTATACTTGTTTGACAGCAATTGCTGGAACATGATTTACTTCTTAGTAGTCACTAAGTAAACACTAGTCAGGAAATTGGTAAATATTGTTGATATAAAGGTAAGATAGGCAAAATTTTGAATAGGCCAAGTGGACTGATTATACGGGGGGTTGAACACGCGGCCGCCGGCAAAATGGCACTAATTTCACATGGTTCGCACAGTCCTTTGAAAGTTCTTGAATTTGAAGGGAGTTCTTGAAAAGTACTTGAATTTAGTAAATGTTGATTTTGTGCTTGAAAAGTCCTTGAATTTCATGAAAATGTCCTTGAATTTTTAGAAATAAACCTTGCCTGTAAATGAAAAGAAATTTTGTACCAGCAATAATGTGCAAACCTCAATAAAAACTTGCGTTAAATGAGCTTAAAAAGCTATAGACACGATAGACAGTTAAATGATGATCACAAATTACAGTAAGTCAGTAAAATCAGTCAGTAAATCAAGGTATGTTGTAGAAGTGACAGTGTTTAGAAGGGTTTATT